TCAAGTTCACAGCTGACTTGGTGTTCACCTTGTGAGGTATAGCTGCTAATGTCATGTGTCCACCATCAGAGAATCAGGGTGAAAGGCTTCTGTGCCCTAAAAATGCCCCTTGCCCCACCTGTTCATCCCTTCCTCTCCCACAACCCTCTCTCTCATTTAGTCTTTTCCAGAAAGCAGTCACATAATTGGAAACAGTATATAGGTTTTGGTGTGTGGTTCTTTTGGGATTTTAAAAACATCTTTCTCTCAAAGAATACTTCATGTGCTTGGAGGAAAAGTGGGCAAGAATCAATTGTCTCTGTTTCATGGAAACTCCGAGAGGTTAAATCACTGGCCCAGAATTTTGGCTAGTGGGCGGGCAGACTGTCAGCCAGCCAGGCTGACACTCTTGGTTGCAATGTGGTGTCTTCTAAAGAGATTCCGGTTCCTGCACAAGCTTGTGACAGGGGCAGTTATGTATTGAATACAGTCACCAAGTTCTGCTGATCCAGTTAAGACTTTATCAGTCTTAGTATATCACAAAGGCCTTACACCACCCTGTGTCAACTGCTGTTAAAATTTGTTGTCTTTTGATTTCTTCTGGTTGTAAATTGTAGCCCATGAGGCAAGAAGAGATAAATGCAGCAGAGAGGAGCTCTCTCATGCAATGCCTGAAGTGGCCAGGCGGTTCTTGGTTTCTTGGATCTAATGTCCACCTCTCCTGAAAGGATGAGTCAGGGCATGCATGCAGGGGAGACAACCCAGCAACAAACTATACTCTAGACACTGTTGGGAACATTCTGGACTCTTCAGGGACACTGCCCTGAGCCCTTTAGGACAGTCTGCAGGTGCCCATTTACTGCCAGGGGTCTAAGGAGGGCAGGGAAACTGCAGGGAGGTAGGCTTTTGAACCTCATCAGCATGGCTGGACTGCATTCTTTTTACACTTATTTGCACAGGGCCCTTTCACAGCAAAGCAGGCCTTTGAAGGTTAAAGCCTCAGAGGTCTAGTCCTGAACAGCCTGGAGCAGTCCATCCATGCAGGGCTGATGAACAGAGGAGGTTCTGGCCAGGGCAGAGCCCCAACTTTTCCTGGGCCCTAAGTCTAGTCTAGTGGGGGCCAGCAAGTCAGACCCAGCTGCAAAGGTGTTCATCCTCTCATTCAGGCTCGGGGCCCCAATGCTTTTCTGTCTACTAACTCTTTTAACTTTTGTTATGTGGATGATACAACTTTGCTTACTGCAGAAAATCAAACACCACAGCCTTCAATGTGGACTGCATCTTAACTTAAAAAAAAAACAAAACAGAAATCTTCACCATTGGACCAAAAGGCAACATCCTGACAGATGAAGAAAAGATTGAAATCGGCAATGGCTTCAGCTTACTCGGATCCACAATCAATAAATATGCTTAGTGCCAGCAGTCAGGAGACAAGGAGATGTTCTGCATTGCATAAGCTTGCAGTCAGGCACCTCTCTAAATGGTTTAGGACCAATCATGTCAGTTTGAGGACTAACGTGTGCCTGATTCAGGCCATGGTGTTTTCAGTGACTTGTTATGCACCTGAGAGCTGGAATGAATAAAGCTGTCAGAAGAAAAATTGATGCATTTGAACTGCGGTGTTGCATAGAGCACTGAATATCCCATGGCCTGCCAAACACACAGGTATGTCTTGGAGAAGGTGCAGCCAAGTGTTTGTTGGAGTGCTTGCTTCAGCAGCACATATACTAAAATCAGTATGATAGAGAGATTAGCATGGTCCCTGCGCAAGGGCAACACCCCAGTGTTCCTTGCAGGCAAAGATGACACAGGTTCGTCTCACATACTTTGGGCATGTTGCTAAGGAAAGTCTGTTATTTCCTGGGAGAAAGGCATCATGCTTCAAAAGGTGGAGGGGCATTTTTTCTTGGTGGGAGGGATTGTAAAACAACAAAAGAATTTTTCTTTTACTTTTCAAAGAGAAGAGCAAATTGAGGGGGGAAGGGGAGAGACAAGGGAGAGGAACGCAACAGTGAATGAATGGAAATTCAAAGTCTATAAACTTTAATTAAAATTAATTAAAAACAAAATTCAAAATCAACAACAGCAAGAAAGGTGGAGGGACAATGAATAAGAAGACCCTCAACCAGGTGGATTGACACAGTGACTGCAGCAACGGGCTCCAGTGTCTCAGAGACGATGAAGATGGCACAGGATCGGACAGAGCTCAGATCTGTTGTTCATAGGGTTGCAATGAGTTATATTCAACCCGAGAGCACCTAACAACAACTTATTTAATTCTAATTCTTCTTTAATTCTAACGGTAAACTTTGATGACTAAAGAAGGTGGCCCAGGGGTCACCCGCTAGTTCGTCTGCTGATACTGACCAGGAGGCAGGGAGGCAGACATGGGGAGAGAAGGGGATTTAAGGATAAGTGGTTTAGAACAGAGATCTGGGGAACTTATGCTAATGGAGTTTATGCTAATGAGCCCCATGGGGAGGAGGCCACATGCCAAACAGACTGAAGGCTACAGGCCAGGATTGAAGCTGTGTCATATCAGAGCGCCACTGACGGTGACGGAAAAACCCACGGTGAGAATGTGCAATAATAAAGTGGCATATTAAAAAGGACGGCAGAGAAGCCAGTGTGGGCTGACCTGTGCTCCCTGAGATATGCTGACGTCCTAACTGTCACCACCCGTAAACAAGGCTTTATTTACATACAGAGGAGTCACTGAACTGATGGAATCAGGTTAAATGAGGCCATCCTGGCTTGTTGTTGTTAGGTGTTGTCCAGTCGACTACGACTCCCAGCTACCCTATGAACGACAGATCAGAACCTTGCTCTGTTCTGAGTATCACAGCATGACTTCCATCACGCTCAAGCCCATTGTTACAGTCACGGTGCTGATACAACTTGTTGAGAGTCATCATCTCTCTCTCTCTGATCCTCCACCATTCTCAGCACGGTGCCTTTTCCCAAACACTGGCCCCTCCTGGCATGTCCAGTGTTGTCCAAAGGACATGAGAGGAAGCTTCACCATTCTTGCCTCTAAGGAGTTCTGCAGATGGGGCTAGCAGAGTGAAAAAACAAAACAAAGTAAACTCCCCCCGAAAGAAAACACTCACAGTGACCTTAAGGGACAAGAACAACTGCCCTACAGGGTTTTAAAGGCTGTAACCGGCTGCTTTCTTCTGCCATCAGGTGGCTGGTGGGTTCGAACTGCCAATCTTTACTTAACAGCCAAACTTTAACTAATGCATTCTAAGGGTTCTTTTAGTGTGTTGCCCAAAACTAACCCCAAAACCACTGTCTTTCTGGCACCCTGCCACTGGGTTTCTGAGGCTGTCAATCTTTTTTGTTGTTGTGTTTCGTTTGGCTTATTTTAAGGCTGTCAATCTTAATGTGTTCATGATTAACACCCTTAGTACCAGCAGTCAGGAAATAAGGAGACGTATTGCAATGGGAAAATCTGCAGTTAGGGACCTGCAGTAGTGACGTCAGTTGGAGGACTAAGGTGCATCTGATTCAGGCCATGATCTTTCTGATTACTAGGTATGCATCTGAGACCTGGATAATGAATACGAATGACAGAAAAAGAATTGATGTCCTTGAGCTTTGGTGTTGGAGAAGAGCACTGAATATCCCTTGATGGCCAAGAAAACGAATAGATGAGTCTTGGAGAGGGTGCAGCCAGAGTGCTCTTTGGAGGCAAGAATGATGAGGTTTCGCCTCACATATTTTGGACATACTGCTAAGAGGGGCTATTCCTTGGAGAGGGATATGATGTTGAGAAGAGTGAAGGGTCAGTGAAGGAGAGGAAGATCCTCAACCAGATGGATTGATAAGGTGACTGCTGCAGTGAGCTCTTGTGTGTCAGGAAGTGTGAGGATGGCACAGGATAGGCCTGGTTTCAGATCTTTTGTTCATAGGGTCACTGTGAGTCATACTTGACTCGATGACACCTGATAACAACCACCACCACCAATGTGAGGTGATTGTCTCATCTTTCTCCCACAGAACAGCTGGTGGGCTTGAATGGCAGTCTAACACTTAACCTAGTATATCACCAGGGCTCCTTTTGGGGATTATGTGGTCATTGTTGCATACTGGGGAGTCAGAACTGACCAAGAGCTGACCCTTGGTTTTCAGAGACAGTAAATTACACGGGTGGAGATTGCTCTTCCTTCTCCCACTGAGCAGCTGTTGGCCTTGAACCATGTGTCTTTGGCATTGCAGCGCAGCTTCTTGCAGTTAGTGTCTTAACCAAGGTAAAAGGAAAATATGGCTACAGAAAAACAGAGACACAGCGGAAGGTGGCTACCTAAACAGTCAAGCAAAGAGAAGGAGAAGCAGCTGGAAGCTAGGGACCACCAAAGGCTGCTGGGAACACCGAGAGGCTTGCTGGGAACACATGAAGCCAAGAGGTAGGGACACATTTTTCCCTAAAACTTTCAGAAAGAGCAAGGTCCTGCCAGCACTTTAATGCCAACTTCTCGCCTTTATAACTGCAAGAAAACAAGTTTCAGTCGTTTTAAGCCAACTGGTTTGTGGCAATTTGTTTTCACAGCCTTAAGAAATTAATGCTGGTCAGCCCTAGCTTTCCAAATGCCATAAAATAAGCATTGTTCCACCACTAAGTTATTCCCAGAGTCCCATGTAGGTGCAAATCGTACAAAAAATGTACAATAAAATAATTAGGTTAAAATACCTAGCTCTTGCCTACTAGTTTATTTATTTTGATAGCATCTCTGATTTTTACATATTTTTCAAAGAACCGTCTGGTCATTGGGATGCTGATTAAATAATCTCAAATTTTCACAGGATTTAAGATGAGTATTCTGAAAAGAAATGAAGGTTCTGTGCAAATATTTCAAGTTGTGATCCCTCGGCAGCAAAAATAAGTGGATTAAAAATGTCTTTTCAAGGTAAATTGCCCTCCTGAGAGAATGGAGGTTGATTTTAAAGCAATTGCTCCTTAGAAGGAGTCAAAGAACATGTAAGAAATGAAAGAACTATTAAACTGGAAAACGTCTTACCTTGAGAAGTTGAGGAAATGAACATGTCGAGTGAATAAATAGGGCTGTTCGGCAGTGCTTATATTTTTAATCAGTTCCATCTATTTAAAGAAAAGCACAAAATTAACACACGCAGGAATCTCATTTCCAAGCTATCTTAAGCTTAAGTTATTTACCTAACTCCCTTTGTTCTTATTGTGAGATGCCATTGAGTTGAACAGGACTCATAGTGACCACAGTATAGAACTGAACTCTGTACTATTCTGTACCATCCCCACCATCTCGGATAGACTTGACCCCACTGCTGCGGTCACAGCGTCAGCTCGTCTCTTTCACTGACCCTCTACCCTTTCAAGCATGATATTCTTTTCCAGGGAATAGCCTCTCCCCCACTTCATCGTCTTTTCTTCCACAAGGTACTTGTGTTTTGTGCAGCACTTATGAATGAATTCTATATGCAACTTTTTCATGTACAAGTTGTCACTGTGTTGCACTGGGTAAGCACTGGCGAAAGATCTGGTGATGTCTTCCCATAAAGACCAGAGTCCGGGATACTCTACGGGACAGTGCCACTCTGTGCTTGGAGGTCACAATGAGTTGGAACTAACTCAATGGCTCACAATAAACCCAGATTTACAGCCCTGCATTTAATAAGTTGATGGCACCCATCAAAACAATGTAACTGATTAAATAATTTCAACTGAGAAAACTGCATGTTGCCTTACTAAATGTCAGATTATTTTTTTTTAAAGAGGTTTTAATCCCTTCTCTTAAAATCAGGGAGTTTTGGTGGCCCATTGAATAAGGAGATGTGCTGCCAACCCAAAGGCAGGTGGTTTGAATCAGGGCAATCGACGGGCAATCAGCTCTCCATTCAAGTCCCTAAAAACCTGGTGAAGGGTCAGCTGTGAGTGGCTTATGAGTGAACAGCAATGAGTTCTTTTAAAGTCGAATCAAGGGTAAGATCGATCATTACATATTCCTATAATGATTAAACAGAAATCTTTTAAACTTGTTCTTCAAACTTTAAAAGTGAGAATACATCACTATTTCTCTCTACTGATAAAAATGGGTAACATATTTCACAGGAAATACACGAAGTCCCCACCTCCTCCCCAAAGTTCTCTGTTTTGGTGGGTGGCCGCCTGAATTATTTATTTGTCATTATCAGCCAGTCATAAATCAGTTTACATTTGTGTAAACTCATTTTATGGTCTTCTGGAACATGTCATACAGAAAATGTTTAGTGAAATCTGTCAGAAATTCCAAGCATTCTTATGATTTCCGGAATTCTACTTCCCTCAGATTTTTCTAATTGGCTTCCTCAAAAGTGACACGTTGTGGAATTTTTAAAAATCCCACTGAAAATTTTGGAAGAACATCAGAAGAGTAACACTTCATGCTTTATGAAATAGTTCAAGTTGAAAACTGGAAACAAAGAACACTTATTCACATGTTAATACAGGAGCAACAGCAAGAGTCTCAATCTCCACAGAAGATGGGGGTCAAGGGTTAAGGGTGCACAATGGCTAACTCGGTGCTCAATGCTAACTGTCGAATGCATTTAACTAGAAAACCTTCAACCAACACCTTTGGTAGCAGCAGTTAGAAAATAAGGAGACATACTGCATTGGGAACGTCTGCTGTCAGAGACTCCTCCAAAGTTCTGAAGAGCAATGATGTCAGTTTAAAGATTAAGGTGCGTCTGATTCAAGCCATAGTCATTTGAATCACCGGCTATATATCTGAGAGCTGGGCAATGAATGAGGATGACAGAAAAAGAATTGATGCCTTTGAGCTGTGGTGCTGAGAAGAGTGCTGAATATTCCATGGACTGCTAAAAGATCAAACACAGATATGGTTGGGAGAAAGTTCATTGAGAGTGCTCGATGGAGGCAAGGATGGTGAAAACATGTCTCGCACACTTTGGCCATATGATTAGGTAAGGCTCTTCTTTGGAAAGGGACACCATACTTAGAAAGGAAGAGGGTCAGTGAAAGAGAAGACGACCCTCAACAAGCTGCAGTGCCTGTGGTAATGGACCCGAGTGTGTCAGAGACGATGAGGAAGGCTCAGGATAGGACAGGGTACAGATCTGTTGCTCACAGGATTTCTGTAAGTCATATCTGACTGGACAGCATCTAACAACAGCACATAGGGAGCTCTAGTGGCCTAATGTTAAGAAACTACACTGCCGCCCAAGAGGCACGTGGTTCAAATTCATCAGCGGTGTGTGATAGAAAGATGGCCAATTTTCTCCTGTGTGATTTACAGCCTCTGAAGAACTGCTGGGGTGGGGGGGTCAGCTATGACTCAGTTCTAACTTGATGGCCCATAAGAACAACTAATCAGCACACGTAGTTGCCCTGTGAACCCAAAGACCAAGCTTCTCTGATGGCTGAAATCCCCCAGTGGTTCCTCAAGAGAAAGATGGGCTACCTCCTCCCATGTGATTTACGGCCTGTGAAAGAGCAGCTGGAGAGTCAGCTATACACAAACGGTTCCAACACAATGGCAGTGACAGAGAGAGATACATAATGAGAGGGCCAGGATTCAGAGATCGGTACACTGAGATCACCATGGTAAACTCTTTCCATACCCATGTCTACAGGGATTGTTTGAATGAATGAAATGGAATTTCTACAGCAAATTACTTGCAGTTCAAAAACCCTGTGTGTTCATCAACGGCAGTCAGGGAGAACATAAAGGGAAATGCAATCTAATATTTACATCTTTGTTTCTTATCTGCTATTAAACCCTGATCTCTTTTGCTACAAGTTCCAGTGCGTAATTTTGGTAGTAAAGCTTCTTGCATGGGCTTCTTGATGTTTATTTTTCTTTTGAGGGTGGCTAAGTGGTACGGAATTGCATGGCAATGTAGAGGTATGCAGTTCGAATCCACCAGCTGCTCTGCAAGAGAAAGAATGGCACTCTCCTCCTGTGTGAGATACTTACTGCCTCTGAAAAGCTGCTGGAGGGTCCGCTATGGGTTGGTTCCAACAACCACCAATAAATTCACTCAAACTCATGTGTGGAATTGGTCCTGACTCACAGAGACCCTCCAGCAGTTTCCAAGCCTGTAAATCAGTAATGGTAGGAATCCACTCATTTTTCTCCCTTGTGGGTTCTAAGTGCCAGAGACGCTCAGCCTTTCTGCTAGAGGAACAATTCCCCATGTGCTACACTAATAAAAAGTCCATTGTGTACCTGGCTATGAAGCTAAGCTTAGCATTCCAGCCTCATGGCACCACATGGAAACAGGCTGTCAATCTTCTTCTGTAAACATTGCTGGTATGTGTTGTTATATGCTGTTGAGTTGCAACAGACCCATAGCTGACCTTCCAGCAGGTTTTCAGAGCTAGTCAATGATATGGAAGGAGGATGTCCATTTTTCTTCCATGGAGCAGCTGTTGGACTCAAACCACATACCTTTGTGTTGGTAGTGCAGTTCCTTACCACTAAGCTACCAGGGCTCCCCTTTGTAAATATTACAGCCAATAAAAAACCCTGTTGGTGCTGTTCCACTGTGTAGCACAAGGAGTCGCCATGTGTCAGACTCGACACCAATGGGCTTGGTTTTGGCACTGAGAAAATGATAGATATGGAAACACAACCACAGTAAATTAATCTCTGAGGACGTCGGTTTCAAAATTTAACTACTGTGTGTACTTCTAATAGACCATCAAAGCTGAAAGCTCTAAATCATTTTTGTTCAAATATTTCTCCGCACACTTAAGAATAACATGAGAAAGCCCAATGCTATTATATGAGGAAGCCAGAGAAACAGGTCAGAAGAAAAATTGTCTCTCTGACATTTTCAGCATTATGTTACATTCTCTAAACACATGTCAACGTGTTAAATTTAATGGAAGAACAGTAGTGGTTAGAGTTGGAGAAGAGTGTCATAATAGTCATAAAGCTGTCTATTTTACAAGGAAAAATGGATTAGCAGTGACAACGTATAACTCTTTCTAGACGTATCTTTAAATATAGAATCGAGGCACTAATGCTCATGTTTATTGCATTAGCTCAGCGAAGTCAGAGAGCACATTTCCGCTCTCACGCATTTTGTCACTGCACGCCAACTATAAGGTCATTGCAGACACGCCAGAGGCACAGATTCAAGGCATTGTGATTGAGATATCATCCTGAGCTTTATAAACACTAAAGTCCCAGCCAGCCTGTCCCCAGGGATAGTGACAAGCTACAGTTTCCATGAACTCCTGTCTGTCACCTGAACTACCTGTCTGGTTCTCTCACCATCCCCAGCAGCTGCCTTGTCTCTGGAGGGGTGCATGTGCAGGGCCAGCACCTTGAGAGGCAGTGGCAACATCTGTAAAGGCAGGGACCTCTGTTCCTTCTTGCTCATGGCTCCTGAGGGACCACTCTGGCTTTCTCCTGATTCCACTGCACACATTCCCTCATCATTCATTCATAGAGTACTTACTGAGCACTTACCAGACCCGGGTGGATAGGAAGACACATTTAAGTCAATAGAGTTTGTCGTACCAAATGCCCCCAAATGCCCACAGCCATAACCACCCCTCCGTCCTCTCTCGTCTTTCCTCCTTACCCAGACTAACCCATCTGCGGGAACTTGTGTCTTTTGCCAGCACCATTTGCTAAAGAGACTTGTCTTTCTACAGTAAAGGACCTTAGATCCTTTATCAAAGATCAGCGCATTGATGGATGGCTTTGCTTCTGCATTCTCAGTTCTATCCTCCTGATCTGCCTGTCTGTCACTGAGCCAATGGGCTGTCTGATTACTGTAGCTGTCAAGTTGGTTTTGAGATTGAGGAATGTGGGGCTTTAATACTTAGTGTTCTTTAATACTATTTTATCTGTTTGGTGGAAGCTCTGGTGGTCTAGTGGGTAAGGCACTGCAGTGCCAACCAAAAGACAGGCTGTGCAAATCCATCAGCTTCTTTGAGGGAGAAAAATGGGGAATTTCTTCCTGTGCTATTTACAGCCTCTGCAAACCTTCTGGAAGGAAGGTCTCCTATGAGTCAGTTCCAACTTGATGCTAATGTGTGTGTGTGAGTGAGTGAGTGAGTTAGCTATTCAGGGCCTCTTTCTTGACTTGATGGTGTACAACCACTAC